AAAAAAAACAAAAGGCGACGCTATGGTCGCTTCTCGCGACACTGTCGCCTCTCGCCACGCAGGCAAAGGCGAGCGCTATTTCGAAACGCAACGCAACAGAGGCTCTGTGGCGACACTGTCTCGCCTCGCCTCGCCTCACGCTATTAGCGCTGAGGCGAGCGCTATTTATAACACTGGGAGGTACTTAGGATTTAGATGGTATAAAAGTAGATGAAGTATGGCAATCTTACGAGGTAGAGGATAGGGAATAACGACAGTGTTTCATGATGTTTTTGAATACTAAATGTTGACAACAGTGTTCAACTGTTTGATGAAGCAAGTCATGTAGAGTAAGAATCCAGTACTTGTAAAGGTAAAATAACTACTGCCCATATGTAACGAAGTTATTCTCCCTCTTTTGGTAGAAAACATTTTTCCTTGGAGAAACAGTTTCTACAACTCATGAACTGAACAGTGAAAAAAGATTTCAACTAGGAACATATTGTAAGCAAAATATTTGTCATTATGTCAAAATTAGTTTCTTTAACCCCAACAATTTGAGCTTTGCTCAGCCAAGTGTGACTGTTAGTGTAAACAATCAAAAAAGTGTGACTGTTATAGTATGTGTTTTGTTTTGTCAGGTGCAGAATTTTGGTGAAGGGCAGCGTTAAAAGGGTTGCTCATGCCTTTCTTGCCAGCCCAAAGGCCAGCTACTCAGAGGTTTGGACGTCTTGCCCTGCCGGATTTTCTTACATCTTTTCCAGATTACATTCACAATGTAGAGTTTGTCATAGAGGATTTACCTCCAGCGTTTTATATGAGGCAAAAGGAACCTTATGGAAGGTATACAATTCTAAATCGAGTTGTTTGTTCCTAACAAGTGAGACAGTGTCACACCATGCTCGAATTGCCTGGAAACGGCTACTTCAAATTCATTCAAGCGGCGGAGCAATTCTGCCACCGATAAGTAGGGTTACGTGTATGATGAGCCTTGCTTTGTCTCGCTCACATCTGGTTTCTCCTGGCATTTTGGCCTTCCTTATCGGAGAGCTAGCATGGAAGCGAAGTGTGTTTGCCGAAGCAGAAGGCTTCACATCCCCGGAATCACTCTACATGCATGCAAAGGATGGACATGTCTACCTGACTTCAGTTGTCTTCTTACTTGTAGAGGGCTTGATTTTGCTCTTCAGAGCTGTATACTTAACACTATTGTTCTCCCCGTGTATACTTATGGCTCCTTTTGCAGACTCCCTTGGTATTGAATTTAGGAAGAAGTGGCTTCGTGCTGTGCGAAAAACTCTAGAGAAGGCAGGTCCAGCGTTCATTAAGTGGGGTCAATGGGCGGCAGCAAGGCCAGATCTATTTCCAGATGATATGTGTAATGAACTTGCGGAACTCCATTCTAAGGCACCAGCACATAGCTATGCGTACACAAAAAGAAGCATCGAAAAGGCGTTCGGACGCAAGCTGCCTGAAATATTCGAAAATTTTGAGGAGGAGCCTGTCGCATCTGGTAGTATTGCTCAAATTCATCGGGCTACCTTGAGATTTCGATATCCTAGACAACGGGTTAAACCCATTCGTGTGGCCGTCAAAGTTAGGCACCCAGGCGTTGGTGAATCTATTAGGAGGGATTTCGTATTAATTAACTTGTTTGCAAAAGTTTCAAAAGTCTTCCCGACTTTGAAGTGGTTAAGACTGGATGAAAGCATACAGCAGTTTGCGGTCTTTATGATGTCTCAGGTTGATCTTTCTAGGGAAGCAGCTAACTTAAGTCGGTTCATATACAACTTCCGCAGATGGAAGGATGTATCATTTCCCAGACCTCTATATCCTTTGGTGCATCCAGCAGTTTTAGTGGAAACTTATGAAGATGGTGAAAATGTCTTGCGCTACATTGAAGAGCTTGAAGAACATATTAAAGAGCTCGACGGACGTGAGAGTGTCAGAAGTGCCCTTGCGCACATTGGGACTCATGCACTACTAAAGATGATGTTGGTATGTCTGTGTAATTTTAGCCGTTCCGGAAAAGTCAAAGCTTGGTTATCATCACCACAAGTAATTCAAGAAGGAATATGACAATAGAAACTTCAACTGAAAGTAACTACTTAAGTACATGAGTAAAAATGGGTTCCTAAGACAAGGGAGGATATCCTAATTTTAAGAACCATTCACCTCCAATATTGAAGTTCGGTGATAGAGGGACCATAGTCGACTCCTGTGCAAGGGCATTAGTTGGGGTTGGGGTTTAACATACCAATAAGGAAAAAAAGGGTTGCTTTATCAGGCCATCATGTAGGATTTCTGAGCATTATCTCTGAATTGCATTAATAAATACCTAAATCAACTTCTGATAAAAAAATAAATACCTAAATCACCTTTGCATGTTGCAACTCGAGTTTCTGCAATGGTAATAATGCATAAAACACTCCGGGTTAGTGACCACCACCACCAACAACAACTACAACCCAGTATAATCCCACTAGTGGGGTCTGGGGAGGGTAGTTTGTACGCAGACCTTACCCCTACCCTTGGGTAGAGAGGCTGTTTCCGATAAACCCTCGGCTCCCTCCCTCCAAGAACTCTCCACCTTGCTCTTGGGATGACTCGAACTCACAACCTCTTGGTTGGAAGTGGAGGGTGCTCACTATTAGTGACCAAGGTTATCAAACATGTTGGCCTAGTAGATTGCTGAAGGCAGTTTTTCAGAAAAAGTGGAGAACTTCCTTTATTTGAACAAGTCTGTATTGGCTGTTTCGTTCTTTTCTTCTATTTTTGAGTAAGAAGTCTGTAAGCTGTCGAACTAGTCTTCAAGTTGAGATTGTTTATTCTTTTCTCCTTTTCGTTAGGGTGAGGGGGAAATGCTATTCCATTGGGATCTTGCAGTTCTTTATTTCTGCAACATAGTCACTAAATTTATTTCTGCGCTCTTTTTTGATACTATACTCTTTAATTCCAGGTGGACAATTTCATACATGCAGACATGCATCCTGGGAACATTCTTGTTAGAACACCGCAAGACAGAGGTTCAGGTAAAGGACTTTTCAAATCGAGGCCTCATGTGGTCTTCCTAGATGTGGGTATGACTGCTGAGCTATCTAATAAGGATCGACTCCTTCTGCTGGAGTTCTTTAAGGCTGTGGCACTTCGAGATGGCCGCTCTGCCGCAGAATGTACTCTTGGACTATCTAAACAACAGAGCTGTCCGAACCCAGAGGAATTCATCAAGGTGCTTTCCTAGCCTTCTAATAATTGTTGTCAAAGAATGATGAAGCTCAAAACTGTAGAGTGTGGCAGACTATTGGTCGCTAGATTCTCAGGAGTCAATTCAATGTCCAAGAAGGAAAAGCTAAATAGACGTATTAATTCGCATCTTGAATTTTGGTTTAACTTTAGTTCAAGCACAGTGCATATAGTACATTATGAGTCTTTCGGGGATAATAAAGGAAAGAATTAAAAAGCAAAAACTCCCTCTCATCTTATCTTAGGGCCATACATCAGTATGTTAAATAAACTTACAAATTGGTTCGTTCTTCTAAAAGTTTGTCTTCCTTATATGGGATGGTGCTACCACATCATCGATGTATGGACAAATTTTTTGATGCAGCATGTGTATATGCCAATTTGTTATTTATTTTGCATATACACTACCCTCCCTAGACCCCACTTGTGGGAACTCACTGGGTTTGCTGCTGTTGTTGCTGTTTCAAATTTTTTTTTTTAATGGAAGTATCCTTAAAAGGAGAAAGGAGATGCACAATCAAAAGATATCCCATGTGAAACTGCTTTATGATGTTTTCTTATGAGTTGCTTGTGTGAAATATGAGAATCGATTTTAAATACCTTTTGTCTCACCTATTTCTGTCTGATGAATACAAGTAATACACATTGTTGTAGTCTCCTTAGTGAATTATGTCGAAACCCCCCAATTTTTGTAGATTCATGTCCTTGTTGAATAACAAAAGAATGTACACTTTGGTAATAGGAAGTGGAGGGAACTTTTGACTTTTGGAGAACACCTGAAGGGGGTGGCATTCATCCGGCGGATTGCATGCAACAATTGCTTGAGCAAGTTAGACGTCATCGGGTGAATATTGATGGCAACATTTGCACTGTGATTGTGACTACTTTGGTGTTGGAGGTACCTTATGGCCTTATTGGATGTTTTTACCCTCTGATAACTCTGCACAGCGTAGACTCGTCTGCTATATTCTTAAGTTAATTTATCCTTTTTTTTATGGTTCTTATTATCTGCTATGTGTGCTGGGGAAGTCAGCATCTATGGTTCTCAAGTATGAATTGCTCAAACATCTGCACAACACGATTATTGACATTCAATTAACAAAAAAGCTAGCAAAAGTAATTGTACCATATTGCACCAAAGGGTGGAGAACCATGACTATGGGGTTCAAATCTCAGTGGAGACAAAAAATTAGGTTATTTCTTTCCATCTATTTAAGCCTTGGTGGACAAAGTCACCCAGTACCTGTGCTGGTGGGAGGTAGTAGGTACCCGATGGAATTAGTTGAGGTGCGTGCAGCTAGTCCGGACACCACCATTAAAGAAAAAAAGGAGTAATTGTGCCATACTACATCTTTATTATGATAAGCCCAACCTTGTAAGATGCTTTAGGATAAAGAGTATTGTACAACTTGTGGTTATTGAGCTGGGTTCATATAGGCTCTTGGAATTGTTGTAATTACAACATAAGTGCATATTTTGTGAAGTGAAAGCCGCTGAGCATGAATGATGGTTTCCAAAAAATAATTTAGTTTCTATCTGTTATCTTTAATCTCGTCTTCTTTAACTTATCTGCTTTTCTTCCTAGATGCTTTTCTTTCCATGCCTTATGCCATATAATTTCTTTTTTCCCTCTATTTTTCTTCCAGATACCAATAGAAGGAAAAGCTTAGCATAGTATGTCTATTACTTGTTGGAATGTATTACATTATGCTTGTCTATCTTCCTACAGGGATGGCAGCGAAAACTGGATCCGGAATACGATGTGCTGCAGACATTGCAAAAGTTGCTTTTCAAAGAAGACTGGGCGGAGTCTCTCTTTCACACAATTGGAGGACTGATGGCCCCTTAAAAAAGTCTCATTTGCTTGCTTCTGCTCCCGACCCCAACGTAGGGGAAACGATTCCACAATTTTGATGGAGTAATATCTCGTAAAGGAAAGATAATATACACAACATCTGGTATTATAAGAGAATAAGGATGAAATGCCTTTAAAAAAAAACTGCGATTAGTTTAGCTCTAACCTTGAATTCTTGTTATTTTTTCTTATTCTTGATCACTGTGTGAGAATAAATATCAAGAATGTATTGATGAGAGAGTTCTGGGATTGACGCCGTATGTCTCACGGTAGGCTGATGCATCCAATTCCGTGATCAAACCCGTGGAAATGTGAGGGAAATTTTGTAATCCAACTTTTACTTCCCCAATGATTGTGTAGTAAGTACTTTCATAGCGATCTGAAGATTCTGCGACAAATCTCAACTCTTCTTTTGATACTATTTGCAATGGTTAATACCTTCTCTTACGGGTAATCTTGTCTCTTATGGAACTTATATTCAACTAGTTGAGGAGTAGTTTTATGAACTGTTCAGCTATGCAACATGGGGAAGATCCTTCTGATGTGTAATGAGTAATCCCTCCTCTTATGGGTAATATTGTATCCCTTGAGGACATTATATTCAATATAATTTGGTATATTGCTTGACTAGTTGATGAGTAGTTTTATGAACATTCAACTGTGCAACATGGGGAAGATCCTTCTGAAGTGTTTTAACATGGCCATGAACCTTTGTTTGTCGTCTGATCGTGGGTAATGGTTAATTTGTCATTGGAGAGGATTGGGCATGAAATAGCAGACTCGAGGTGCAACACATAATGTGTGGGTTTGGTGCACGTTACAGGTTCAAATTCTTCCTCAAACAAAAGTCTTGTATTCAACTTGAGAAGGATAGATATGTGGGTTCATATTATCCATCGAGTTTTGAACCATGAGTTGCTAACCCTACAGAAAAAGATGTTAAACTCGAGGTCTGAACTTATGAGGTAGACAACAGAAGATTGTGGGACTGTATTAGGGTAAACTATCTCTTCAGAGCACTGAAACATGATTGAGTACAACGTAGATGAAAACTGTCTCAACTGAATAATAATGCAGCATCAGGATCGGCAGAAACTCGACATTTTCATCAACGCTGCACTCAATCATATTTCTAAGTGTTCTGCATCTCTACTCCTTCCTAACTTTCTGTATGACTTATTTTCATTAGTTCGTTAATATAGGAATTGAATCATCGATAGTACATGAGAGCTTTCAAGTAGTACATTTTGAACAACAATATGACCTCGTACTACCAGTTCTCTATAGTACTAAACTTTGTACTGCATTCTACTTCGCAGCACACAATCTTGAAGATTTTCAACTAGGAAAGGATAATAGATTCTGGATACAAGAAAGTGAAAGGGAAGATAGTTGAGTAATTGAATATTGTAATGAAACAAATCATAGACAAGTTTGGGATTTAGACATATTCGGGTTTGACCTGATCTAGTTCTGCAGAGGGTGGAGTTACCTATTGCAAAGTTCACGAATCTCCTTCAGCAAAAAAATTATACTGCGCAAATAGGATTTTTTTTTTGTACATATATAAATGTTGAAAATCCTTAATTATTTTTTTTATAACTGTGGTGTCCGGGTCAATTTGCATGTACCTGTTAGCAGGATACTTACTATCTTTTACCAGCACATATATCGAATAACTCTGTCCACCAAAACTTGGACAGCTGAAAAAAAGTCAGTGTTTTTGTTAAATTTAATTTGAAACTTAACTCGTGCATATATATGTAACAATCTTGACCTTAGTTGTGGTGTTTGAAGTCAATAATCACAACAAAAATCTAAGTAAAGAGAAGAAATAAGTTGGCAAACTACCAACTCATCACTCCACTTCTTCCCCCGTTGCCTCCTTCCTCCTCCTTGTACATCTAACTTCTCTATTTTAAGAACCTCTTCAGCTTGCTCAGTTTTCAAAAACCATTATAGAAAAACCTTCAATAATTTATAAAACTATGCACAAAGTTTCAAACTTTTAGGATATTTCTGATTTGAAAAAATGGTCAAAATATATCTAAAAAGATATTCAAATATGGGTTATAAAAAGAAGTGTGTTTCAATAAGCTAAAAAATGAGAAACGATCATGGCGAAGCAATGATTATTGTTCATTATGTCGTTTCTGATGGGCCAATAAAATTTTAGACGATTCGGAGCCCGTCGTCCAAATTCATGAAGATGGCGTGGACATTAGCACACGAAAAATTAAAAATCATCTTGAATTCATGTTTTATGGCATTAAAATGCCAAAAAAGAGGAACAACCATGGCGAAACAATGACTATTGTTCATTATGTCATTTCTGATGGGCCCACAAAATTTTAGGTGATTCTGAGCCTGTAGACTGAATTCATGAAGATTTTGTGGACATTAGCATACAAAAAATTGAAAAACGTCTTGAATTTCTGTTTTATAGCCCTAAAATGCTAAAGAACGAGGGACAGTCATGGCGAAGCAATATCTATTATTTATTAGGTTGTTTGTGATGAGTCCACAAAATTTTTGGTGATTCGGAGCTCGTCGTCCGAATTCATGAAGATGGCGTGAACATTAGCACACGAAAAATTAAAAATCATCTTGAAGTCCTGTTTTATGACCCTAAATACCAAAAAATGAGCAAATGGTCATGGAAAATAATTACTATTGTTCATTAGGTCGTTTCTGATGGACCCACAAAATTTTATGCGATCCGGAGCCCTTTGCCCAAATTCATGAATATGACGTTGACATTAACACACGAAAAATTGAAAAATCATCATAAATATCTATTTTATGGCCCTAAAATGCCAAAAAATGAGGGACAATCATGGAGAGGTAATGACTATGGTTCATTAGGTCATTTTTTATGGGTCCCTATAGTTTTAGGCTATTCAGAGTATGTTGCCCGAATTTATGAAGATGGCATGGACAATAGCACACGAAAAATTAAATATCATCCTGAAATCCTGTTTTATGGCCCTAAGATGCCAAAAAATGAGTGATGGTCATGGAAAAGCAATGACTATTGATCATTAGATAATTTCTGACGAGTTCACAAAATTTTAGGAGATTAGGAGCCCGTCGCCCGAATTCATAAAGATGGCAAAGAAGAGATGAAAGGTAGAGTTGGTCCCATTGGGCGTGCCAGAATTTGTAACAACTAAACTTTGTTTTTGAAAAATAATAATCAAGACAAGAAATATAGTGACAAATATGATATTCGATTTCAAGTGAGGGGATTACAATCTCTAGAATATCTCAAATCTAAAGAGATGTAGTTCTTTAATTATTCTCCTCACGAATGATGGTTCAAGAACCCGAGAGCTTGATCTTCAACTTGATGGATTTGGACTTGTGGTGTGTTTGTGAACAATCTGAAGATCGTAATGAACTAGAATTTGATGTTAAGTTATCACGAACGGGAGACTTGAAGCTGGTCGCCTAGAATTTGAGTCCGCTTATGGGATTTGACCGCAGATAAAGATTACAGATATAGAGGGATACCTTGATGCCGCTCTTCGTAGCTTCTATAACCTTCCTTCTGCTTGCTTGATATATTTCTGACATTGTGATGTTTTCCTCCTAACAATGAAAAATGTAACCCAGTTATATAGACGTGAGGTGGAGTAGCCTCCAAGAAAAGACTCACGGGCCATTGGGCTTGGGGCTCATATTAGGTCGATTTATTTGATACAAAACCAATTTAGGAGGCTAGCCCACTAATATAATGGACCTTTATTCAAATCAATTTAACTGAATTTAAAAAATTGACCCAATTATACTAGGTCATAATATTATTTGGACTAATATATATTTAATTTGTGGTAAAATTCAAATCCTTTATGGATTTGAATTTAATAAAATTTTAATCGTCTACATATGACCAAGAAATGCCATAAAATGAACCTAAAAATATATGGTGAAATAATGAGTATTGATCACTATGATTATTTCCTATGGACCTATGAAATTTCAGGCCAATTAGAGTCTATCAAAAAAATTTTACAAAATCAGTATGTACTAATACACACGAAAAAGTGGATATAATCACAAATTTGTGTTGCATGACCATGAAACGCCATAAAATAAACCTGAAAGTCATGACAAAGCATTGAGTATTGGTCACTAGGTCGTTTCCTATGAACCTACAAAAATTCAGGCCATGAAAAGTGGATATAATTATAAATTTGTGTTGCATGACCCTAAAATACCAATCAATAAACCCAAAATCATGGAGAAACGATGAGTATTGGTCTCTAGGCCGTTTCCTATGGACCTACGACATTTCAGGCCAATCTGAGTCCATCAAAAAAATTCTACAAAATTGGCATGTATAAATATACACGAAAAAATGGATATAATCACAAGTTCGTGTTGCATGACCCCCAAACCCCAAAAAATTAACCCTAAAGTCATGGCCATTTCCTATAGACCTATGAAATTTCATCCCAATCGGAGTCCGTAAAAAATTTATACAAAATTAGCATGTACTAATACACACAAAAAAGTGGACATAATCAGTAATTCATGTTGCATAACCTGAAACGCCATAAAATGTACCTGAAAGTCATAGCGTAACGATGAGCGTTGGTCACTAGGACTGTTTCCTATTGGCATACGAAATTTCAAGTCAATCGAATTTTGTCAAAAAAATGCTACAAGATCATCACGACTAATACACACGAAAAAAATGAACATAATTACATACTCGTGTTGCATGACCATGAACGCCATAAAAAGAATCTGAAAGTTATGGCGAAGCAATGAGTATTGATCACTAGGCCGTTTCCTATAGACCTACTAAATTTCAGGCCAATCGGAATTTGTCAAAAAAATCTACAAAATCAGTATATACTAATATACACGAAAAAATGGATATAATCACAAACTCGTGTTGCATGACCATGAAATACCAAAAATGAACCCGAAAGCCAGAGTGAAGCAATGAATATTGGTCACTAGACCATTTCATATGGACCTACGAAAATTCAGACTAATCGAAATCCGTTAAAAAAATTCTATAAAATTAGCATGTACTACTAATACACAAGCAAAGTTGATGTAATCCTAAATTAGTATTGCATGGCCATGAAATGCTATAAAATGAACCCGATAATCATGACGAAACAATGAGTATTGGTCACTAGGTCGTTTCTTATAGACCTACGATATTTCAGACCAATCGAAGCCCGTCAATTTTTTTATTACAAAATCACCATATACTAATACAAACAAAAAAATAAATATTAATCATAAATTGGTATTACATAAGTCCGAAATACCATAAAATATTAGTTACTATGCACTTACAAAATTTTAAACGGATCATAAGCCGTCAAAAAACAAAAGTGTTTGTTTCTTGTTTTTATTTGTTAGTTATCACCGTCATCGAAGGCAGACACTAGCACAAAGCAGTCAACGAAACCAGAAAGGAAAAAAAGTTAACTCAATTGTGATTTAAAACCCTAACCCTAGCTTTGAAATGCAGAAACAACCACCGCACATGGCGGATTCCGACATCCCAAATCTCGCGAACATCAAGGTGAAATGTTCATCGCCGCGTTTTCCACCGCCCACCACTCCATCCGCCACAGAGACCCCCACCGCCGGTGCACAAC